CGACTCAGAGAAATTTCTCTAGTATGATTACGAAAAAATTTCAAAATTTCTGTGTAAAAATTAAAATTTCTCTAAGTCGGGATGAAATTTTTCTGAGTCGGGCAAAATTTCTCTAAGTCAAATTTTCCCTATAAAAATGTTGAAGGACTTTAATTACTATGAAAAAATTGTATGTCCTTATCTTATAAAATTTTAATAACATAGACCTTAAAAAAAATTCTCCTCTATTTATTTATTTATTTATTTTTGCAAATTTCTTACAAAATTAATATCTAAATATATTATATTGTTAAATAAGTTTCCCACTCACCATTCAATGAATGTTAATTAATGATCAAATAACGTCAAAAAAAAAAAAAAATGGCAAATTACAAGATAAAATCTCAGGTTTGAGTCATTTAACAAAATAAAATATGAATTTTTTATTTTATCAATCTAAATATTATAACTTAGATTTGTTTTCAATTTAAATCATTTACTTATTTTTATTAAGTAATATTAATGAAAAAATAGATATTTTAGCCATAAAACTCACGAAAAAAGTTATTTTAGACATTTTATGTATATTTATATTGAGTTTAATGATTAAAATACTAATTTTTCGTCGATTTTACTTAACGAAATTAGGTAAATAGTTAAATTAAAATTTTTACATAGCAAAAATAAATAAATGATTTAAATTGAAAACAAATTAAAAGATTAAAATTTAAATTAATAAAATTAAAAATTCGACAACAACAACAAAAACAAAATATAAGCTATATTTTTTTATAAATTTAGGTCAAGTTTGACAAGTTGAAAAAAGGTTAAAAAGTCAAAAAGTTACTCAAAAAGTTAAAAAGTTATCACTATTCACCGAAAGTCAAAAATTATGGTTGCACAACTCTCAATCCTAATTTTTTTCCTACACACTAATTTATACAATTTTTTCATACACATTTTTTCATAAAATGTCAAAAAGTACACCCAAACATCCTCTTTTTTTTTCTCAATTTTTTAGTCCAAAAAGACAAAAAGTGCACTTATTTAGGACACCCAAACAATCCCTTATTTATCAGAAAATTAGTGAAACATCTCTCTTCAACTTTGTGTAGTAGGAGAGGTCCAAGATAAATTTTTTAATTAGCTAAAGTCCCTCAACATTTTCACAGAAAAAATTCAAGTTAGAGAAATTTTGCTCGACTCAGAGAAATTTCGACCTCGATTCAGAGAAATTTCTCTAGTATGATTACAAAAAAATTTCAAAATTTCGATGTAAAAATTAAAATTTCTCTAAGTCGGGATGAAATTTTTCTGAGTCGGGCAAAATTTCTCTAAGTAAAATTTTTTCTATGAAAATGTTAAAGGACTTTAATTACTATGAAAAAATTGTATGTCATTTATCTTATAAAATTTTAATATCATAGACCTTAAAAAAAATTCTCCTCTATTTATTTATTTATTTATTTTTGCAAATTTCTTACAAAATTAATATCTAAATATATTATATTGTTAAATAAGTTTCCCACTCACCATTCAATGAATGTTAATTAATGATCAAATAACATCAACAAAAAAAAAAATTGGCAAATTACAAGATAAAATCTCAGGGTTTGAGTCATATAACAAAATACAATATGAATTTTTAATTTTATCAATTTAAATATTATAATTTAGATTTGTTTTCAATTTATATTATTTACTTATTTTTATTTAGTAATATTAATGAAAAAATAGATATTTTAGCCATAAAACTCACGAAAAAGTTATTTTAGACATTTTATGTATATTTATATTGAGTTTAATGATTATAATACTAATTTTTCGTCGATTTTACTTAACGAAATTAGGTAAATAGTTTAAATTAAAATTTTTACGTGACAAAAATAAATAAATGATTTAAATTGAAAACAAATTAAAAGATTAAAATTTAAATTAATAAAATTAAAAATTCGACAACTACAACAAAAACAAAATATAAGCTATATTTTTTTATAAATTTAGGTCAAGTTTGACAAGTTGAAAAAAAGTTAAAAAGTCAAAAAGTTACTCAAAAAGTTAAAAAGTTATCACTATTCACCGAAAGTCAAAAATTACGGTTGCACAACTCTCAATCCTAATTTTTTCCTACACACTAATTTATACAATTTTTTAATACACATTTTTTCATAAAATGTCAAAAAGTACACCCAAACATCCTTTTTTTTCTCAATTTTTTAGTCCAAAAAGACAAAAAGTACACTTATTTAGGACACTCAAACAATCCCTTATTTATCAAAAAATTAGTGAAACATCCCTCTTCAACTTTGTGTAGTAAGAGAGGTCCAAGATATATTTTTTTATTAACTAAAGTCCCTCAACATTTTCACAGAAAAAATTCAACTTAGAGAAATTTTGCTCGATTCAGAGAAATTTCGGCCCCGACTCAGAGAAATTTCTCTAGTATGATTACAAAAAAAATTCAAAATTTCGATGTAAAAATTAAAATTTCTCTAAGTCAAGATGAAATTTTTCTGAGTCG